TCTTGATCGTGTGAGACTCGTGACTCTCAGCTCCTCCCGCTGGACGCGACCGAGTTGTTTTCTCGACAGTCACATTACAGCAGCCTCATTGCTCAATTCAGATTTTTGGCTCAGATCTGATCTTCCTAGCTTGATGGTTCACATTCGTGACTCATCTGTCATTAATGTGAAAGAAGTATGTGTCCTGAATCGACCCCATGGCGCACATCCTAATCAATAACATGAACCAATTGCCTCACGAACAAACTTACCCAGCAGAACGAGGCTTCGTCGTGAAGGTGATTCGCGCTGATCAGCTCTCAGCTGTTCGTTATTAGAGCGAGACGAAGGAGAAGAAAGGGTCATATGCTTTTGCAGCATTTGCGGCACTAACTTCAGGTTTGGCGCTGCTGCCATGGTAACGCAGAAGGTCGCATGTTCCATTACCAGACTAAAGTGACACAAATCAGATTTTTTTTTTTTTGCCTTAATGTAAATCTTTTCAAATCCGATCTGAGCCACTTTCATATGTGGTCCTGGGCCCAGAAATATCCCATGTTTTTGTCTTAAGTTAAGATCTGACAGGTCAAGATAAGATTTTTCACAAATTCAGATTTACAGAAGCAAATTGTACCTTAATTTAGGAATTTTATCTGATCCTTCATCATCTTATCTCCAGTTAGGTGAACCATTGAGTCAGATAGATCAGCAAAAGATTGGAATTGGGCAGTGAGGCTTGTAATGTGAACGTAGCTAAAGTGTCTCAAATCTGATTCAGAAAGGTCAGATTTGTGTGTCCACACAGTTCTGATAAAATCAGATCTGTTCACATTAGGGCAAAAAAGGGGAATTTTGCCACTTTAGCCTGGTAATTTGAACACAGCCAAGATTTGGCCAGTAAATAGGACTAAATTCACATTACAAGCCTCGTTGCTCAAATCCGATTTTTTTTTTTTTTGCTCAAATCCGATCTCTCTCACACGATGGTTCACACTCGTTTAGGTAAGTGACTCAAATCTGTCATTAATGTGAACGAACCGGCGTCCTGAAATGACCCTCATGAGCACATCTTACTCAGTAACGAGTAACTCTGATCAGCTCTCAGCTTCATTATTAGAGCGAGACGGAGGAGAAAAAGGTGAGATGAGCTGCTTTTTCACCGTTTACAGGCTTTAACTTCTGTTCGGCGCTGCTGCCATGGTAACGCTGAATGATGGCACAGTGGGGAAAAAAGTGTGCAAGTGTGTTGCATTAAGGTCGCATGGCCACAAATAAGATACGTATCCGATCTAGGACCATCAGATCTGAGTCACATTAGGGCAAAAAATCTGATTTGTGCCACTTCAGCCTGGTAATGTGGACAGAGCCTTGGATCCAGAAGTCCCTATATAGGCATTAGGCTGATTATGGAGGTCTAGGGCAGCGAACTGGATGTGTCAGAATTATGTATTGTCCCTCACAGGCGACCAGCAGATTCATAGCTTTTATTTACAAACCTGCATTTAAAAAATATGCATGTTTCTGAATATAACACAGGCTGCATTAACACACATGAAAACGTTAAGATCATTTTTGTCTTCTCCTGTGAAATTGCGGTTTCTGAGGTGCGAGGTTTCGCGCCGGTGCTGCCTCGTTTACTGTTGTTTTTTGTGAGGTGTGGGAAAGCGGCTGTTTTGACTCAGTACTGAGAAAACTTGGTACACAAACACTGCGATGGTGTGAACGGCCTTGAGACTGCTCTGAGTACAAGATACCGGACTGAACACACAAAGTGAGAGAGAGAGACAACAAATCTGTCTGCTTCTCTGAATATGAGCTGGCAGTAAAGATGGATGAAGCCTCAGAATACTGAGCCATCTGAGAGAGCGACCTGTAAAGACGTTTATCTGGCTGACATTAGAATTAATGCAAATAAACACACAAACAATCTGTTGTGGTAGCTTTGGAGATGCACCGATCTGACTTTTCTCTCTCTATAGCACTTCCGATATCTGAACTCAGGATATTGGCCGATACAGAGAACCAATCCAATTTATTTAACTCATATAATGTGCTGTTACAATTGAATAGTTAATTGTAAAACATTATGTATCTGTTTTAAGACATTTTGGTGATTTATTGATTGTTAAAATGAGGCAAACTTGACAAGTATTACAGATTCAACCATGTTGTTCCAGTTTTAGAAGTCACTATTGAAGTCTTTTTCAAAATCCCCAAAAATCTGACACATTTAAATTTCTTACCTATCTGTTTACATAAAATTGATAAAAATGTAAAAGTCTGAAATCAGTGAGTGTGTTTACATGCACCTAATGATCCGATAACTGCAGAAAATCAGATTTTGTCAGTAATCCGATCAACGCGTTTACACTTGAGTAATCAGATAATGGTAAAACTCCGGATCTGTTTTACAACCAGCCAATAAACTCACAGAAGAAAACGTGACGTAAACAAGAAGTAAAACTTCATGAGTGGCTTTTTTAAAAAAAACATTTGAGTCACTTTACCTGAAAATATGAACAAACATCATCTAGAAGATGAAGAATATTTAAGTTCTTCATTTCGTCAAGGATGTTTTTGGTTTCAGCTGCTCACTTATTTCCGGTGCCGCCGTCTGTTTTCACACATGCGCAGACTAAGAAATCCGAAAGAAATCAGAGTAAGAGTTTACATGCACTGAAATCTGATTATTGGGCTAAAATCCAGCCTCTTTATCAGATGTCTTAATCAGATTTCTTAATCAGATTTCTAGACCTCACTCTGATCTAGGAAATCAGAGTGTGCCGTTTACGTAAGCATATGAATAATCAGACAACTGCAAAAATCTGATTATGATTGGATTATTGACTGCATGTAAACGCACTCAGTGATTCACCGAAATATTTAAAGATGTATTTTATTCTATTTTTGCGTTTTGAATAAAACTACTAAACAGAAAAACTTAAACAAAGAAAATACACTTTTATTATTGAGAATTTTCATTTAAAAGGACAAAACTGAGCTGACAATAAATGAAAACAGCCAATAATTATGAACAATCACATTACTGACTTCATGTACAGCCTGTAATGTGATAATGTGATCGTCAATAATTATTAGCAGTATGTAGATCATAACAATCTGAGACAAACTGTTATATTTTCTTAATAAATAGTTTACCAAAGGAAAATAATGCAGTTGGGATAGTCTGTTTAAAATAAACTCAATTTGGTTTGATCTGTTTTTTTTCACCACTATAAACGGACATTTTTAAGTATCCAGATACTTTTTTGAGGCACTGAATAAAACTCTTCACCTGTGTTAGATGCACTGGGTGTGTCTCTGCCTGTCCTAATCAGCTTGGCATGATTCACCTGAGACTCTTTAAAATGAAGCTTCCAGGTGGGCCACACTGTTGGAGAACGTTCTGTGGCCTTTTTCATGATCATGAATTGAGTTTGGCTGAATGGGTTAAAGCTTTACTGCAGTTATCAGGTCATTAAGCTCCTCACGAGGCTGTTAATGATCAGGCCTGAGGACTTGTTTATCCGCTGTTTGTTTAGTATTGAGTTATGGTTCTGGGTGGTGTGTTGTGGTGAGTCAGGAGGAGGTTAGCCTTTGTTCCTGGGTGCTATGCAAATATAGGTAAATACTCAAGTAAGCTATCACTGCCTCGTGTGATCAGCCTGCAATCAGATATCAGTGAAGTGGCCTGTTGGATCTTTTAAAGCGATAGGTCAGACAAAAACACACATTTACATTTCCCAGCTCAGACATGTTTACCGCTGCTCTAGTTTTAGCCCTGGAGGCTAATGTAGCAGGTACACTCTAACAGCATCTGTGAATACCGCACACCTAAATCACGCGCTTTGCTTAAACTGTCATCGTTGTTATGCCAGGATCAGAAAACACCAGGGGTCGCTGCTGCCCGGCTGCGGCTCCAGAATCAGATTAGTAGGTAAAAATAAAATAATCCTCCTTTACAGTAAAATAAAGCTCTGCTGATCGTTCAACACAGTTTAACAATAAATGGTCTTAAACTCTGGAGTTAATGTAGAACTGCTAATTCACCCTTTAACCCTGACGATCAGCGCAGACTGCTGGTCACCATAGCAACACAGACAACAGTCTCACCTAGCTAGTAGCTAACGAAACGACAAAGAGAGAGATTTAAGATGAACATTGATAATTTAGAGACGAATGGACTTATTTGTGTTTATAATCACTCCAGCTGGTTTCCTGATACGTTTAATCTGCAACGAGAAACTGAAACATTAAAGAGTTGCGAAGCTGAAGTCAGTTTCTCATTCACCAGCTTCTTGTTTGAATTGTCCCGTTCCACCTTAAATGGTGCAGCAGTTTCATTCTCATGTCTCAGGCACCATTTAAGGTGAGACGGGAAAATTCAAAGAGGAATTCAAAAAGCGAATGTTCAGATATGAGACAATTAACGGTTCTGCTTTTGAGGAAATGTTTCCTGCTGGAGATGTGAGAAAAGCAGCTATAGCTGAGCTGAAGCTTAAAGCAGAGCAAAGTAAGTCTGTGTTTATGTTTATATTATATTTTTAGTCTATAGTAGAACATCAGCACATACTGAGACATACAGCCAGGATGGTAAAATGGACATAAAATGTTGTGGCTCCAAAAGTGGTTTGACTCTATGGTTACGATGTCAAGCTTGTAACAATAGCATAGACCTTTTTGGGTGCTATATAGAACCATATACAGCACATTCTCCATCAATCAGAGAACCATTTCATGATGCAAAGAACCATTTAATGATGCAAAGGATTCTGTGAGTGTTCATGGTTCTATATAGAACCATTGTCTTTACTGATGAACCTTTTAAAGAACCGTCTTTTTTTAAGCATTTAAGGGATAAATAATGAACAGTGCGGCTGAGTTTGTTGTGGTGATGAGCTGCTCCTGATCTGTTCTCTCCTGCTTGCTCAGGACCTCTCTCTCTCTCTCTCTCTCTCTCTCTCTCTCTCTCTCTCTCTCTCTCTCTCTCTCTCTCTCTCTCTCTCTCTCCTGTTTATTAGAGTGGTGTGTTTGATCCCGGTGGATCTCAGTGCCTGGATACAAACAGCACATTACCAGGACAGCATCCTACATATACAGTGCGTATATTCTAGAGCTGGGAAATCTGACAATATATATCGTTATTATGGAAAATTATGTCACAATATAACACAGTATGCTCTTCTGAACGTATTGTATATATCATTCTGTACTTTTAAAACACTGGTTTCATTATAAAGAGAGCAAAATTAGTCCAGTTTAACTGGATTTATTGCAAAATATTGAATAAAAATAATTGAATTCATTGACATCATGTATCGTGAACACGAGACATATCTTGAAGTATCGCGATAATATATTTTTGCCATATGACCCACTTCTAATAAATTGTCAAAATAGCACTTTCTAATGGAATTGTGGACATCGTCAATACTTCCCTACTGCATGATTGATTACAGAGGGCATAATTACTTTGTAATTGGATTATTTGTGTGAAATGTTGAATACAAATAGTATTTAATAGATTGAGTTAGTATTAAATAGAAAGGCAGTTTTATTTATACAGCACCTTTCATACACTGCTGTCACTCAAAGTGCTTTACAAACCAGAAAAGAGTTGTTTTAAAAGTAAACGCTAATAGAAGAACATCATTAAAACAATATAACAGAGACAAAGGGATAACAACCTTATGTCAGTTTAAGTGGCCCTTCAGATGAGCAGAGTAAAAATGGGTTTGACAAAGGAATAAACTACGTCGTACAGCGGAGAAAAACCTTAGTCATTTTGCCGCTGCTGACCGTCGTTACACTGAAAGCAGTTCGCGCTTTAAAGTTGCTGCTTCAGCCGCTTTCAGTGGAACAGTTTTCATTTTCTCCCTCAAAAGCTGTCAGTATCTGTATCTGAGAGAGCGAGAGCTCAGCCGGGAGTAGATCTTCATTCACTGGAGCCGGTGGTTCTGGAAAACATCTACAGTGGTGCTACGGACCATGACAGTCCAGCACGCCCCCTGCTGGTGTGTGCGTGTTCAGCTTTTTGCCAACTAGTTTATTGTTAGTGAGCTGTTTTAACACCTCCAACATGGCTAATTCAGCGTTTTTGATTTATCTCTCTGTAGACGTAGCTGATGTTACTGTGCTCTGATAGCTGTGAAGGAATTTTTCCACAGAGTATTTATATCCTTTATTCAGTTTATTCAGACCCCCACTTTGTTGTGTGTTCTGGACACATCCTCGAATTCCAGTCTTGGCAACTGTGACAAAGATAAAGTGACACACCTTTACACCTTGGTGAGCTGAAGTGATACGAACGCCTATTCTGAGGTCAGTAACTGTCCGTAGGGCAATAGCAGAACCTGTTTTACCCAGCGTCCCTGTGAGAAAGGACATCGGATACCTTTAAATGTGGCACTACTTTCTTTTTCCAACTTATACACGATGTCTTTATTTATTTTTCCCGATATGTGATGTCATGGCATCAATAATAAGCTCCCTGTGGAAACTCGGCCTAAGAGAAGGGGAGAGTTTTAAACCACCTTCATCTCGCCTTTTCCAGGTGAAGCAGGTTAACTCACCTTTTCCAGGTGAAGCAGGTTAACTCACCTTTCCCAGGTGAAGCAGGTTAACTCACCTTTGCCAGGTGAAGCAGGTTAACTCACCTTTGCCAGGTGAAGCAGGTTAACTCACCTTTCCCAGGTGAAGCAGGTTAACTCACCTTTCCCAGGTGAAGCTGGGTTAACTCGCCTTTCCCAAGTGAAGCAGGTTAACTCACCTTTCCCAAGTGAAGCAGGTTAACTCACCTTTGCCAGGTGAAGCAGGTTAACTCACCTTTCCCAGGTGAAGCAGGTTAACTCACCTTTCCCAGGTGAAGCTGGGTTAACTCGCCTTTCCCAAGTGAAGCAGGTTAACTCGCCTTTCCCAAGTGAAGCAGGTTAACTCGCCTTTCCCAGGTGAAGCAGGTTAACTCGCCTTTCCCAGGTGAAGCAGGTTAACTCACCTTTCCCAAGTGAAGCAGGTTAACTCGCCTTTCCCAGTGAAGCAGGTTAACTCGCCTTTGCCAGGTGAAGCAGGTTAACTCACCTTTGCCAGGTGAACACGTTTTAAAGGAATAGTTCAGTTTAATTGAGCTTATTTCGGTAATCAATGAAAACGAAAGGTCACCTTTTATCATTATGCAAGTTCCGTTCTGATGGACGCCTCCTGGTTTCTATTGCTGACCATGTTTGAGCGTGTTTGATAAATGTCTCCCAGGTGAAGCCGTTTCAGCTCCTGGGATTAAAAGCTGCATACATGCAGGCTTTCTGTTTTCCTCTTCAGCTGCTATTGAACAATGGGCCCATTTTCACAATCAATAGGCAATTTGTCAACCTTATATTTACCTCCGAGCGTAAATGATCTCAGACAGTTTCAGGTTAACCCGGATACAGAGCTCAGTTTTCGGATGTACGCCTGTTGAAAGTCAGTAAGAGCAAAGTGTCACTTAGAGATGTTTGGCAGAAAATCAAATGTAGAAATGTAGAAAACGTCTACAGTGGTGCTACGGACCATGACAGTCCAGCACGCCCCCTGCTGGTGTGTGCGTGTTCAGCTTTTTGCCAACTAGTTTATTGTTAGTGAGCTGTTTTAACACCTCCAACATGGCTAATTCAGCGTTTTTGATTTATCTCTCTGTAGACGTAGCTGATGTTACTGTGCTCTGATAGCTGTGAAGGAATTTTTCCACAGAGTATTTATATCCTTTATTCAGTTTATTCAGACCCCCACTTTGTTGTGTGTTCTGGACACATCCTCGAATTCCAGTCTTGGCAACTGTGACAAAGATAAAGTGACACACCTTTACACGGTGAGCTGAAGTGATACGAACGCCTATTCTGAGGTCAGTAACTGTCCGTAGGGCAATAGCAGAACCTGTTTTACCCAGCGTCCCTGTGAGAAAGGACATCGGATACCTTTTAATGTGGCACTACTTTCTTTTTTCAGCTTATACAAGATGTCTGATATTTGATGTGTTTCTGAGACATGGCATCAATAATAAGCTCCCTGTGGAAACTCGGCCTAAGAGAAGAGACCTTTTCTCAAAGGGGAGAGTTTTAAACCACCTTCATCTCACCTTTGCCAGGTGAAGCAGGTTAACTCACCTTTGCCAGGTGAAGCAGGTTAACCCACCTTTCCCAAGTGAAGCAGGTTAACTCGCCTTTCCCAGGTGAAGCAGGTTAACTCACCTTTTATCATTATGCAAGTTCCGTTCTGATGGACGCCTCCTGGTTTCTATTGCTGACCATGTTTGAGCGTGTTTGATAAATGCCTCCCAGGTGAAGCCGTTTAGCTCCTGGGATTAAAAGCTGCATACATGCAGGCTTTCTGTTTTCCTCTTCAGCTGCTAATGAACAATGGGCCCATTTTCACAATCAATAGGCAATTTGTCAACCTTATATTTACCTCCAAGCGTAAATGATCTCAGACAGTTTCAGGTTAACCCGGATACAGAGCTCAGTTTTCGGATGTACGCCTGTTGAAAGTCAGTAAGAGCAAAGTGTCACATAGAGATGTTTGGCAGAAAATCAAATGCCTGACTTGACTTGACTTGACTCAAATCCACTCCTTAATGTTGTTGATCAGCCACGACGCGTTTGGTGTCTAGGGTTCAGCACTGGAGCTAAGAAGCTAATGTAGCTAACAAGTAATGGAAGCTTATATCCACCAATTAGCTGCATGCTTAAATCTTTACGTTTCTCAAACTGTGCCGAGCTGTTAAAGTGGAAATTCTCAATGTTTCAGTCTTTTTTAAGTGGTTGAGATGTGAACAGAGAGATTCAGAGTGGTTTGGTGTGAAATGGTTCAGATGTCTTTACAGTGGTGGTGATAGGAACCAGGGGTCGCCATGACTACAACACAAATATAGACATTTTATTTACTATCCAGAACCACCAGTGAACCTACACGAGTCTTCTGAGTCTATATGGAATGTTGATGATGGAAAATAGTGGAAAATCTGAAATAATGAGTTTTCTTTGGGGACTATTTTGCCTCACAGCGCCCTGCATGTATCCCTCCACCATGAATGGAGTTTAAGTTCTCTAAACTATCATAAACCGTGTCTCAGTCATCAGGCAGTGAATTCATAACCATTTCATGTAGTAACTTTCTGTGAGGGAGCTTTTAGAGGTGGACGTCTATGTAGAATTTTTGAAAAATTAGTGGAGTTCCCCTCCAAGTCATCTCTAATAGCCTTGTTTATGTGGTTTCAGACTCTGTATGATGCGCTATTAAACACGAACTGAAGTATATTAACTTAGCAGCTGTTTCAAAGCCTGAATTTTGTCCATACTTGTGTCCACGTTTACAGTAAGCTCCCATTCTGTGTTATCTACATTCGCCTCGTAGCTCCAGTGTAAATTAAAGAAGCAAACTTCAAACACCAAACATGTCCTGGCTGATCGTCCACATCATTGCGAAACTGGATTTGAAATAATGGTTTGACTAATTCTTTATTTACACACAGGGTTGTGTCTGTCAGGTCTCCTGTAGTGACTCCAGTGAGCTTCAGTGTTTGCCGATCTGAAGTGTGTTGCGTAGTTTCGGAGGGAGGTTTTAGGGATCTGATGTAAAACTCCTGTTTGAGTGTGTTTACATTCGTTAACGAGTCCTGTTGTGTGTCCGTCAGGGTGGGAAAACTGATGTATGAACCTCACAAAGTGGGACAATCATTAACCTGCCGCACTAAAGCTGCTATAAAGGGCTTCTGAAGGTGTTTGGAGACTCTTGAGCAGCAACGTTCGCTTTGCGTCAAATAAAACAACCGCGGCTTTGAGTGTTTGCTTTACAAATCTCTCCCTCCCAGGGTGTGCCTGGTCAGCGTGGCCCTCACCCTCCACCCCTTTCTCTATTACTCATTACTCTCTCTCTTCTGCTCTTGGACTCCTTTAAAGGGGAATGCCACCACTTTACTGAAGTTCTTTCAGTGGGACATCAGAGATGTAAACAGTCAGAGTGGTTTGATGAGGCCCAGATGTCTTTACAGTGGTGGTGATAGGGAACCAGGCGTCGCCATGACTACAACACAAAATATAGACATTTTATTTACTATCCAGAACCACCAGTG